TGTACTTAAATAACTAAAATTAATATCAAAATATTATGGAAATTCATAGCTTTTAGTCTATGCTAGTATTTCAAACTTGTCAACAAATCAAGCATGAAGCGTTCCACTTTCTATTAAAAAAATGTGTGATCTAATCTAATATCTGATCTTTTAAAACTTTGCCCGTCACAAATTTTATAAAAAGTTTCAAAACAATAAAAACAAACTAACTGAAACATAGCTGAATCAAAATCTACCATTTAAAGAATATATATAATACATAACTTCAGTCCATCTGAGTCCGCCCCTTTTTCTGTAAACCGGACCCAAACAGCAAAACCCGGATGTTTCCCCATGTCAACACTTCCTGTTGTGTTTTCAGCTTTTCAAACCAGGAAGATGGATTTGCTGTCGAATAAATGGATCATTAACTTGATATTTTGTTTGTTTTTCATAGGTGAGTTGTATTCCCCTGTTGCTAAACTTGTGTCTTCGTCTAACTGCTGAAGAACGAAATGTGTTTCGCTTTCGGGCGGTTAGCTTCGAGGACTTCTTTGTGTCCGGTGCTAGCTGAATGCTAGGCTAAATTAGCGTTAGCAGGAGGTTTTCTGTCTGCCTTTAAAATCTATGTCCCGGTTTTAAAATGAGTTTTTCAACTGAGTTCGGTGCTTCGACTGTTCTCTACGCATTTCAAACAAGTGGATGTGCAAAAGAAACACAGCATCTCTTGTGTTAATTGAGCCTTTGTGGTGATTTTGTAGTGACAGATTGGGTCAGCCCTCTTCTTAACTCAGCATCAGCGTGACCGCTCGTGATTTCACCGCTGCGGCCGCCCCCGGAGGGATTAAAGGCTGGACCGCTACACCAGATTATATACATTATATACATATTTCTTGTAGTTTACGTGACTCTCTAATGAAATTAAACAGAAGACAAGCCACTTTCAAACATTTAGAATATCCTGGTAAATCGGCACATAGGTGAGCAAACATAGCATCATTTGAGATGAAAAAAAAAATCTGTTTCTCATTTCCCTTTTCTGTTGCTGTGGGGAGATTAGTTACAAAAAACCCCGAACAATTGTGCTTTCTTTTCATTCTAAACTTGACCTTTACTTTAGTGTTGAGTGATTTTTAGTATTTTGATAAAAAGAAATGTCAGACATATTATTATAATAAAGACAACTAACACTAACATTTAAATTACTTAAAACAAAAATGTTTTTAAACAATAAAAGCTTAAAAACAACTGAGCCTACCCAGTATGGAAAGTGGGAAACGAAACAGAATTGAAATATTTAGAAAATAAGGAACTGTAATAACTCTTGAACTTACTATAGTTTAAGTTTGATAAAAGTGTTGTGTAAAAAGAAAAAACTTGAGCATGCTTTCAGAAATAGTTTGTTGAGTAGTTAAGATGAAGTCAGAATATATATCTGTGGTGCCCATTACCCTTTTTTAAAACCTTAGCTGGTGTTCGCAAACGTCTTTGGATTTAGTCTCAATAACAACTTTGTCCTCACGCTTTTATAGATCATCTGGTTGATGTGTTCCTATTTTTTGTTAGGCAGCAAATTCTTTGGTATGCAGGAACCCTATTTATGTAAAATAATTAATAATAACAATGCTATGAATTATACCGCTTCTTGAAGTGCAAAAACGTACATTTGAAAATGCTGTCCTGGACCATGTTAAAAAGATGAAACCATGAGGTCAGGTTAAAGCGAGGACACTGATCCTTCTCATGTAAAGTTTTTGAACCCAGATACCAAGAATATTTTATGTCTTTGTGACTCAAGCATATCAAGATTTAGAAACACATTAAGTATTTTACAACTTCACTGCAAATTTTAAAGCCGACAACCTCCCCGTTGTCTGAATGGGATCCATTGGCCTGTTTTTAGACTGTTGCTGTATGTTTCTGTTGTTGACTTTCAGCAGTATTAATTCATGAGCGATTAGATGCTGTTATAACATTTGAAGGATGACAGTTTGAAACCCCGAAGTATTGTATTGTACACAATACTTAAGCACAGTTTCGTACCATATATTACCTCGGGAATAAAAGCAGCATTGTATTGCTTACATGTCATAAAGAACCTAGTTCTATTATTATCCAAATAAAAGACGTTAAATAAGCGACCTGTGACGCAGGATTTATTTGAAAATTATTTCTACAAAGCATGTTAAAGGAAAAGCTCCTCTAATTTCAATGTGGGTAAACAGGCATCTTAACTCTCAAGGAGGAATCTTTGGATGTATAATAGGAGTAACCCTTGTTTCTCTTTTGTGAACTGAGGGGTGAGCAAAGAAGCAAAATAATAGTGATCGCTGTCTGTACAGCTCAGTAGGCCTATACTTGTAAAAAACCTGCAACCAGATCTTTATTCATATATACTGAGGTGTCAAAACTTGTGAATAAGGGTATTTCCAAAACTGCGGCTTGGTTCTTTCTTTGGTTTTCAGTTCACACCTTGTTTTTGAACTCATGTTTCAGTGTATGCTTCTGCTTTTTTTTTTTTTTAAAGAAAGAGAGAGAATGAACTAACAACACTTTTTTAAATATATATATATACAAACTTTATCATCAAAAGATGAACTCCGTTATTGTGCTCCAGTTCACTTGTTTCCCAAACAACCTTTAAACATTACAGTGGGTGTTAGCATCTTCACGTGTACGGTACTATGGAAACAGTGGTGCAACATTTATGCCGTGCTGACTATGCCTCGGAAAGGACCTCTTTGTGTTGTCTAATAGTCAAAACACAGCTAGTTGTAAGTGCAGGTTATAAAAATGAGAATGCGTGTTGCTGTCATGCTTGGGGAACCTGCCTACTTATAACATTATCACAGGGACCAGGCTCGCGATGGAAACTATAAGAAATGAGAAAATGGGAAATTGGCCTGTTGTGCCTGGACCTCTGTATGGATATTTTTAATCCACTGGGAGCTCAGAGTTCATGGTTTCTTCATGCAGAATGAAGCTTGGAGTAGATTAGGATCTAGCATGTTTCAAAGTGTTTAGAAAGTTTGATTGATTTAAATGATTCTAATAAAACAAATCAGGAGACAATAGTATAAGTGGAATAGTAAAGATGAAATTTGTGTGTATGTTCAAATATTTGTTTTTTCTTCTTGCAGGTGTCAGCTGTAATTCAGTGGAAAACAAGATTTATGTGCATCTTAATTACACTATCCCGTGTGTGCGACTGCTAAACGCAACACATCAAATAGGCTGTCAGTGTGAGTACATCAGCTTCTATTATATTATATTTTGATATTATTATCCAAGTTGAACCTAGTACATAAAAGTATTTGTTGTAGTTTGGAGTATCTTAGATACACAGTGAGCAATAATAAAATGCTTAGTGAGCATTAATCTGCAAACACCTTCCTGTGTTTCCTGTGTTTTTGCTTCAGTTGTTCAAATTCACAAACACACATCTGTGTAGCTGTGACAGAAGAGTTCTCACAGATGAAAGCCCACAGTCAAACAAATATTTCCTGTGATAACTACCTGAATATCAAAAAACTGAATATCCATAGAAGTGTGTGCTGGTGTCACACTACAAAAGCCTCACCAGTTTTGCAGTTTTGCTTCTGCTGAATGAAAGTAATGGAGAATGATTGAAAAGCTTTTAAGGATATTTATGTCTTGGACAGCTGTAACACAGATATATTCCTTGTTTCGGATTTCAGCGTCTTTATCAGGTGATGTTGGTGTGCTCCATGTGCTCGAATCAGAAGCAAACCTGGACTGGGTCCTGAAAACTGGTCCCAACCCTCCTTATATGGTGATTCTGGATTCTACGCTCTTTACGAGGTGCGCTCAACATGTCTCACCCTGTAGTGGAAGCCCCCACAGTAGTTTTTAGTGAACATAAACCTCATTTACTCACACTTTAAATCTGTTACTGATTTACTCCATATTTGGTTTTATTTTGAACAATCAATCGACATCAAAACAGAATTGCAGTTTGAAACTATCCAATTAACAAATGTAAAAGCTGCAGTTAGTCCACACTTTGTATACTGTCTATGATCCTGCTAGCCAATCAGACGTGATGCAAGACAGCTACATATACACCCAGCAATAACACGCATGTGGAGTAGTTTTAAATTAATAGGTTAGAAGTAGCTCATATTTCTATCTTTTGATGTCGGCCCATGTGGTAATGCTACATGTCATGTTATAAATTATTGCACTTTGAGTATCAAACTGGAGTTGACTTTAAGAAATTAAAGTAAGACATTTTTCTCTTTTAGACCTATTTCAGATATTTTTTTATACTTAACAAAAAACAAAAACTTTGGTAATAAAAATAAATCAGTGAAGTAATGGGACTGTGGCTCTGTTATGGAGGCCAATCTGCTATAAGTTGTCATTTACTTACATGCATAATAAAATAGATGTGTGTTTAATAGGAGCTGCTAAACTTAAAGAAAGAAACTTGAACCATATTTCAAAAGAATTAACGCACCTATGATCTCTGTGTTTTGTTTTTTTAACCTGCATCATCTCCTGTACTGTGTGCCGGCTGTCTGCTCATCAGATCTATCATGATGAAACTTAAGACTGGCTCCAGTAGGGTTGCTGGTGTTGTTGTTGTGGCGCCAAGCTCAAATCCAGCTGAGGGTTTCTCTCCACACACCACCTGCCCCAACGAGAACTCAGGTGGGTGGGGGTTACATGTTAAGGCTTGCTCCACAGTTTTACACAAGCTACAGAAATAAATTATAGTTTGATGATCCTCAGAGAGCATAGCTCATAAAACCACAAGTTGTAACTGGGTCATATTTCATGTTCTGCGCTTGACTTCTAAAACATTGCAGTGTCTGCAAAATGTCTTGTTTACACTCAACAGAGATTTAATTAGAATGGCTTTTATTGTCACTGTACACATGTACAGTAAGATACAAAGCATCTCCTACTCAGTGCAGACATGTGGGAAAAGAAAGGGGGGTGAAGTCCACAGTTCTGTGGCATTATATCAGGAGAAAAAAGGGAATTCACATCCTTTACTGAAGTAAAACAAGTAATTTCACAGTATGAAGATGCTTTGCTAACGCCATATACTATTAAATAGTCCTGGATTCAAACTTTAAGTCTAGTCTGGGTAACATGTAGCACACAGTCAAACTACTCCGGGTCATTTTAGGGAAGTTGGATGCTTGGTAGATGAGGAACAATCCAACTGTATCTTTGGATCAGGGGTCTCTTTAATGTTACTGATGGTAATTTTTGTTTTTCCCTTCTCTGTGCGTCCCCTATAGGCGTGTATTCAGAGAGCTATGACCCAGCCTTAGCCCACTGTAACGTCACCGTGTGGAACCCTCTGGGAAATGGCTTGTCCTACGAGGAGTATGACTTCCCGATGTTCTCCCTGAAAGACGACAACGACACTCAGGCCATAAAACAGGTTATTTGTTTTCCACTTGATGCTGGAGAGTACAAGATTGTGCAGTCACATGATAAGCTCACTCACACACTACGAGTCCAAATCTGAACTTGCCTCACCGGTCGTTGAGGTTAGATTAGAAATAATGCTCTAAAGCTGTTTCAGCAGCAAACAAGGTCATCTTCATGTAGATCACATAGTATTGCATTAGTTTAAAACAGAATGGCACACTATTCAAAGAGAAGTTATGTTTCTTCCCTTATAAAATAGACGTGTATCGAATTCAGATTACATTCATAGTATGGAGTCTAAGCTGCTTGGTTTGACCTGAACTACAACTTTTTGTTATAATTTCAGTTTACAGGCAACTTTAACGATTTAAAGTTGCCTGTAAATAGCCACAGTGCTAAGTAAAAGACCAACGAAATGCCGCAATTTCACCTACCAAAATATTCTGAATCTTGTGTACCAAACAAAGTCATACTATTTGTAAGGTATTTCCATTACAAAAGGCAGTAGATGCACAACATACAGTACAGCGGTCTGCTTTAATTAGCAAATGTGAAGGCTAGCAGCATTTAGCTACAGCTTTCTGTGTTTATATATACATTATTCAAAGCAGCCATGCTCCTGATTTTAACCCTTACAACTATCCAAATGCACAGATTAAGCTTGTGTTTCTTTTGTGTTATATTTTGAGGTTGGACATTTTAACGTGGGAATCGGTTTTTTGCTTTTAAAGCCAGCCTTAGAAGATTAGAAGATTTGCAGTTTTTGACATTTTCATGTTGATGGGTTTAAACTAGGGATGTGTGCCACTAGTCCAATCATCGACGCTGTTGTCACTAGTTAGTGCTAGATGTACTAGGCATTTAATCTAATTATTTTACATTTATTTGATGCCGAATGCTGGCACACTGTTGTATCCCAAATATCATGCAGCTGTCTGCCACCAGATGGAGCATGGTTGTTGAGAAATGCCATAAATCTGTTAATCAGGCCTGATATTTTTGTTAACAACTAGTTAGTTCTTTTAAAGGCAAAAGAGTGAGATTGTGAATACAAATAGTGGAAGATTGGACGGGCTCTCTCTTAGTGATAGGGTGAGGAGTTCAGTTATATGTGAGGGGCTCAGAGCAGAGCCGCTGCTCCTCCACATTGAAAGGAGCCAGTTGAGGTGGTCGCCTCCTGGGTAAGGTGTTCCAGCCGTGTGTGTCCTACCAGGAGGAGGCCCCAGGGCAGACCCAGGACACGCTGGAGAGATTGCGTCTCTCAGCTGGCCTGGGAATGCCTCGATGGGATAGCGAGGTCTAGGCTTCCCCAGAACCTGACTTCAGATAAGTGGAAGAAAATAGCTGGATGATTTATTGTTTTATCATTTCAGATTTTTACATTCATTGAAGTGGTTGGTCTGAATTTGCAGCACACTTTTGAGTTACAATTTCGTAGTTTTTCAGATGTTGATTTGTCATAGTCATTCATTAATGAAGACTAATTAACGGTTTCAGATGCCTTTTGATTTGGGAGTTTCTGACATCCTTGATTAAACACTCCTCAAATTTAACGTGATATTGTCAATATTATTGACTAGTCGGTTAGTCTAATTTTTTGTCCTCATGCAGTCGACTAAGAAATTTGTCCCCAGGAACATTCTTAGTTCAAATCTGAGTATACAGGCGTTTTTCATCTGTGTGCTTTTCTCCATTCACAGTGCTACTACAATCATAACCATGTTGTGAATGGCAGTAGTCCGCAGTACCCACTGTGCGCGATGCAGCTCTACTCACACATGTCTGCCGTCACCGACACAGCCACCTGCATGAGGAGAAATGGCATCAACTTCAGCTTAAACCCAGGTATTTTTCAAGTGTAATTATCTAAACATTACTTAACGTTTTTACAATATGTGGGAAATATTTTCAGAAACATGCTGCAAAAATATTTAAATAAGAGAGTTTTTATCATTGTTATTTTATTATAGTGCTAATCACTGTTTGTTTGGGCCTTGTTCTTTTCACCCTGAAGAAGCCGTATGTGACCCACTTGGAGACTTTAATGTTTTGGCCTCGACCAGGCCTCTGAACTACACAGATAAGGGCCACAAGATGGGGGAGAGCGTGGTCATCGCAGCAGCGAGGGTGAGTTCAAGCAAAAGTGGTTTCAAAAGAAAACCACAGTACCACGTGTTACATATTAACATGCTGAGAATGATGTGAGAATTCAGTATTACCCTCAAATAGACTTTATTTGGGTCGACGGCTGAGGTCAAAATTTTATTCATCTTGCTTTTATTTTGAAAGTCGGTCATTGCTAACCCCCTCTACCTGGATTTTCCTGTTTGGCTGAGTGGTGGTTCTGACCTCTAAGTGCAGTTCTTGTATCCATGACATAAAATGAAGATGAATAGTGGCCAACATATCAAAGTGACTGCTCACTTTTGAGTAAAGGATGTACTATAGATGGTAGAAGTGGCTGATCTGCAGTATACAGTGGTAGAGTTTTTGTTTACATTTTGATTAATAAAAATGTTCATAGCTAGTTAAATTGAACAACTTGTGTAGATAAATTCTCTGCTTAATTCTTGTTCGCTCCTGTCCTGTCTGCAGCTGGACAGCCGGTCTTTTTTCTTTGACATTGCTCCAGGCGCCGAGAGTGCAGCCTCGGGGTTTGTCACCTTGCTGGCGGCAGCACACGCTCTGCGCAACGCCACCCAGGAGGCCCAACCCAACCGCACCATCCTCTACGCATTCTTCCAGGGGGTCAGTTCTTTGTTTTTTTTCTTTTTTTCTGTAGTCAGCACAGTGCTCAACTAACATTTGAGAACTGTTTTAGTTTTGACTGTCCTGCCATTCATCCATTTGTCTGTTGACCACAGGAAACCTTTGACTACATCGGCAGCTCGAGGTTGGTGTACGACATGGAGAATAAACAGTTTCCTTTGGACCTGGACAATGTTCACTCAGTGGTGGAGATTGGACAGGTGTGTATTATATTACTGATAGCTTTACACGTAACTGTCATGTGGCACAAACTCCTGAAGTTTAAGGAAAATGTTGTTTGAATTTGGGTATATTTTTTTCATACCTGCATTTGTTTATATTTTCAATACTTTTAGATTAAAGGCAAGACAAGTTTATTTATATAGCACAATTCAACAACAAGGTGATTCAAAGTGCTTTACAGAGACATTAAAGAACAAAAACAAATAAAAAGCATGATTTAAAATTGATTAAAAAAACCGTTGGTTAAAATCAGTAGTTAAAATGTAAGTTTTGAAATTTAAGCTTAACAGTGTGGATTTGGTGTTTTATTCAAATGCAGCTGAGAACAGGTGAGTCTTCAACCTGGATTTAAATAAACTGAGTGTTTCAGCTGATCTGAGGCTTTCTGGGAGTTTGTTCCAGATATAAGGAGCATAAAAGCTGAATGCAGCTTCTCCGTGTCTGGTTCTGACTCTGGGAACTGATAAAAGACCGGATCCAGATGACCTGAGGGATCTGGAAGGTTCATACTGGGTCACTGATGTATTTTGGTCCTAAACCATTCAGAGCTTTATAGACCAGCATCAGAACTTTAAAGTCTATCCTCTGATGGACAGGCAGCCAGTGTAAAGACCTCAGAGCTGGACTTAAAGAATAATTCAACTAAAATACCTCTTTACTTGACAATTGAATGGCTTTAAAAAATTCAAATTAAAACTTTTGATTATATATGTTTGTTTTTTTTTACCATGTGCAGATTTCTTTTGTGTTACTTATTAATAATTATTTAATATTAGTTGTGGGTTATGTTAATGAAAATGTGCAAGTACAATAGGATTATGTCGGACTTTCCTGTCCTAGGTGGGACTCCATGGAGAATCAAAGCTCTGGGTTCACACTGATCCCGTGTCTCGGAGGAACAGCAGTGTGAATGAAGAGGTTGGTCTCTCTCCGTACCTATATCCCTCTCACCTCCTAAACACTCATGTCTCTGAGCCTTCATTTCTTACATTCCTCTATGCTTTAGTTTTATGTATTTATATACTTGTTATTCTCACTCCATGGCAGCTGGGACGGGCTCCTGTGTCCATGTAACTTGTGCGGAAAAACATCATAACTTTCAGATAAACGGAAAAAAACTGAAACCAGAGCTCACAGTGTGTGTTTTACTGTGTGGCTAACATTTGTTCTTACTTCCCTTCACTGATCTGTTTCAGGTGGAAAAGCTCATCAGAAACTTGAACTCGTCTGCCTTAAATCTCAACTTCTCATTGCAAGAGCCCAGTTTCTCTCAGCCGCTGCCTCCGTCATCCTTCCAGCGTTTCCTGCGAGCACGGCCAATCCCTGGTGTTGTTATCCAGAATCATAACTCTGCTTTCACCAACAAGTACTTTGCATTTTCTTCAGTATAAATAATAATCAATCCAGAGCTAGGGATTGTTTTTTAAAAAAAAAAAATCCATTTCCTGTTCTGTGCACAGGTACTATGAAAGTATGTATGATAATGCGGAGTACCTGAACATGTCTTACCCACCAAACCTGACGCCAGAGGAGCAGCTGGAATACATAACAGATGCTGCAAAGGTATAGCTGTTGTTAAAACCGTTTAAAAGTGTGTTAACCTACATTTAAAGTGATTTTTATTTATATTTTTTAAATGCATTAAAAGTATTAAGAGCAACATGATCTTTTCTTCTTATTTTTAGCTTGAAAGAGTTTAAATATATATTTTTTTTATTTTAAGATCAGCTTGTTTGAATTATCTTTTCACATTAACAGTTTTCCAAAATATAGCAAGTCTATTTTTATTTAAGCTGCAGAAAGTCACGTTATTGTCTAAACTTTGTTTATTATCTAAACATTGTTGCTCTGTTGTGTTGATTTACTGTGGAGAGCTTCATACAAAGTCTTTTGAGCTCTGAAAAACATTCTTTGTTTCCCTGCATCATCAAGGCTCTGACTGAAGCGGCGACCATTGTGGCTCGAGCTCTGTACACACAGGCTGGAGGATCGGACCCCATCCAGCTGCAAAACATTAACGTGGATAGTCAGATGGTAAGTTTATTTATTTTAATGAATGCTATTTTGTTTACAAGCTCATTTTTCTTATTCCAATTAGCTTTAACTCGTCTAAGAAATCTTCAAAAATAAGGAAATTTAAAATTTTCTTCAGTCACTTCATTCATTCATTTTGAACTTGAAATTTATTTCTTTTAAACTGTTCAGCAAAAGTTCAATAATAATCAATTGTAGATTCTTTATAAGTGCTTTTTATTTTCTCCTTGATGCTGCTGTTACCTTGTGGGACTGAACAGAAGTGAATCTGTCCTACTTCCCTCACAGGTGACCCAAATGCTGTATGGTTTCCTTGTTAAGTCAAATAACTCCTGGTTCCAGCAAATGGTACCTTCGGACTTCGCGATTCATCTGCGTAAGTTGATCCTGTTTTGTACTAGACTGTTAAAAATGTTGTAGGAATAAAAAGGCTTGTTATGTGTCTTCAATATGTTTCATCTTTATTTATAAAGCACTTTAAAACAACCACAGCAAAGTGCTGCATGTTGGAACTAAAAAATAAAATTACATAAGATATAAATAAAATCCAAATAAAAGAAAAAAGTAAAATAATGAATTAATTAGTTAATAACAAATTTAATTAAAAGGAAAAACGAAGTCCTTCTGAAGCCAAAAGCCAAAGAATAAAAATGGGTTTTAAGCCGTGTTCTAAAACCCATTTCTATGGGTTTTGTTGATAAATGTTGCTTCTTAACACCTATTTAGATGCTGTTTACAATATTGTCCTATTGTTGTTTTGAAGTATGAAGCCTTAAATGAAGCTTATCTTTTTATCAAAACTTTATTTCCTCACAAAATACTTTCTTTCTCTCAGGTGAAAGACCCACAAACTTCTACGTGGGGGTGACACAACAGCACAGTGAACCGACTCTTCTGGTCCAATACCTGCTGGCCAACCTGACCGGCACCACCGTCAACATCACCCAGGACAACTGCCAGAACCAGAGAGAGGGCGAGGATGACAAAGAGAGCAAACATGTAAGATTTACAACAGTGTGTATTTTCTTGAAAGTCAACTTGGGTGTAAGTTGCCCTCTGGCAATTTAAGTAAGAACTTTAAAACCTTTGGAACATCATTTATCTAATTCCTCCCTTTAACACATTGTTCTCAACCTGTCCCTCAGATATACAGCTACATGTGGGTTCAAGGTGCAGCACCTCCCAACAGTACGGAACGAGTGGCATTCTGCGTTCGCTCCACAGTTCGTCTCTCCAAAGCGCTGTCCCCGGCCTTCGACCTGGAGGAGTACACCTCCAAAGATTACTCAACGTGGACGGAGTCCAGGTGGAAGAGCATTAAAGGGCGCATATTCCTGGTGGCCAGTCATGAACTGGAGGTAAACTTTTCCTCAAAGACACCACAGATGTGACTGATGCACACACACAGCAGAGAAGTTGTTCTACAACTAAAAAGTTTGATATGTGAATGCAATAACTCGAGACAAGGCAACATAGGATTTTGAAGTTGATACCATTGATAGTTGCATCTACTAGCAGGCTGAGGGGTAGCACTGTTGGCCTCCAGTACTTTTTTGTAAGCAGTGATCTCATTGTTAGTGGAGGGCAGGGATTGTTTTAAGGCACGCGAGTGCTTGTGGGAAAGTCTCATGTTGAAAAAATGGCTTCCAAACAGCAACAAGAGACCCAAATTTGCATGGTAATTGTAACAGTGTCCATGATTGGTTGTTATTTTCTCTCTGATCTAGATTTTCTCACAGTAGTGTTTGTGATTTTAGCGGCCGATCCGGCCTAAACCAACAACTCCGGTTTCCAGAACTACAGCAACAAAAGAGCCTAACAACAAAAACAAAACTGGTTAAATCCTGGCAGTGACTGATTGCGTGCGTTGAACAAATTTCAGGTCTCTGCATGTTCATCAACACATTGTGCTAAAACAAATCGAAACTCTTTTATTTCAGTGTTTGATACAATCCGATTTTGTTAATGTGGTAACTGCATCTCACTGCTTAAACTGGCGCCTTTGGGTTCACCGTTTGTATCACTGCAGCTTTAAAGTCACATGATAATGTGACTGAGTTATTTTTAATATAACAGCTCATCACATGAGTGCAAAGCCACAGGCAGCTGGAACTCGACTTCCCTCATTCTACAGTTTTACCCCTGTGATAGCTGGAATAATCGCTTCCACAGTAAAGCATTTAGAGGCTTTTTGGTTGAGAGCTACAATCGGAACTACTTGATGTTTAAATGTGACTATAAATAAAGGTGATGTTATCTTGCTGCTGTGTACACCCTGGGGGGTAACAGAAGTTGATACAGTAACTTTGTGGTATGTTTAGAAGCTAAAACTGCGTGTGAAAACCTTCTTGTTGTATCTGTAACGATTGCCCTTTCTCCTCCAGATGTTGACGCTCGGAGTCGGTGTCGCCGTGCTGATAGCATCCTTAATGTTGACCTACATCATCAGCTCAAAGGCCGACATACTCTTCAGCTCAGGGAGGGAGCCCACCGCTGCCACCTACTGATTCACTCAGAAGCGTCTCAGACCCACGACCACTACTTCTACTACTATTGCTACTACTACTACTACTTTTATCCCAACCAGACATGGACAGTTTTCTTTAAAACACACCACGAGTAGGTACACAGACAGGTTAGTATCAGCTGCATCGAGGTGGGGGAGGGGGGTCGGGGGGTGAGGGGTTCCTTTTAGACGACGACTCCGTGTTTATGGACTCACTCATGTGAGGCGTGACATGAGGACTGGACCGGACTGGATTTGCCTGGATGGATCTGGACTCATCAGGGTCATAAAACACACTGGTCAGGCACCAGCAGGCCCTGCCAGTGGAAACGATGTTTATATTTTTTGTTTTAGGTTTTTTTTTGTTTTGTTTTGTTGGGTTTTTTTTCCCTTTTATCCTAAAAGAATGTTTTGTTTACTGTGTCATGGGATAGGCACTAAACATTGAGCATTACTTTGAGCTGTGTGTATGATTTTGAAAATGTGAATGCAACCGTGTGTGTGTGAACAATTATAAGTGTGCGCAAGTCTGTGTGTGTGAACTTTGTATGAGGATTGCGATGGTATGTGCAATACTGTAGCTGTCTTCTCTGTCAGTGTAGTTAACTTATCAATCAGTTTTAATGATAAGAAACCACTTTGTGAGTCAATGAGCAAGTAGTAATATTACAAATTTAACATTTTGCTAAATCTGGAAATGTGCAGTGAAAGATTTTGATAATAAATCAGTATCATTCAGTCCAAGTACACATAATGAAACTGTACTTGTAGACCCACTGCAGTTTCACATATTGTGATATTTGAATGGGAATTTTCCAAGAGTCTGGCATGGCTGAAAAAAACACTTTATTTCTCATCAGTCAGCGGCCATAATGTATTAAAAAAGCAGTCAGAAAGATCAGTTTTAGCAGTGGAAAAACAACATGCTGGTACTCTGCCTTTGCACTCTTTGGTTTTTTGTTTTTTTCCCAATGAAGTTTATTTTCTGAAAATTGTATGACACACGAGATTAGTGATGGGTGTTTGTTTTAATAGATGGAATTAAAAGACCGATTGTGATGCCTTGATGAAGAAATAAACATTGCTTCTTTTCCAAACTTGTATTTCACAGTCCTTTGACTTTGGCACAGAAAAGCAGGAAAATGTTGAAAAAGGGATCACAAGGATGGAAATTAGTTTGTTCATTTATTTATTTATTTATTTTTTATTAAACACACACAGGAGATGCTAATTTCCACTACTGTAAGAAAAATGTACATTTAGAAAGTACATGGAAAGGCACTGGCTTCTAAATTGCCACATTAACAAAGCATCTAAATCACTGAGAGGAAGACCCACTAGACTAGAGCAAGTGCAGCTGACGGCTTCAAGCCTTCATCAGATGCAGGATCCATAAATTAGGCCTCGGTGCAGCTCCTCAGTTCATCAAGCAGTTTTAACTCCCTGCCCCTCCTTTCTTTAAGACCGCTTTTTATTCTGTTTGGTACCCCCCCCCAACACAGGTGTCACAATGTTACCCACTGCCACTATTGATGCCTGTGAAGCCTCTGGCTGTTTTGAAGTGGATGTGATGAGCAAGGAGTGAATCTGACTATGAAGCAGAATTGATTGACATTTATCCTGGATAATCCTTTTTTTTTCTGACTCCAGCAGACTTCACGTTCTTTTCCGTATAAACTTAAACTACTAATTGTGCGCAGCAGAAAAGTGTTTACTGAAGTCACAGAGTGAGGGAGCCAATAGTTGTTTTTTGACCTTCATAGAGCTGGATTTGCAACTGGAGGAGTCGCCCCCTGCTGGCCATTAAAAGGAATGCATGTTTAAGGCACTTCTACTGGCTCGAGTTCTCTGACCTTCAGGGACTTTCGCACTTTTGTGCGTGTCAGTCCTTTGTGGTTGAGATGACCTTGTTAAGAATATCCCCTCGTCATGATGTCACACAGATCCAAGAGTGGAAAAAACTCTTAAACTGAGTGCTTAAAGCATGAAGCTTTGCCTACCTGCACACATAGTTTGAAACTTTGGTCATGTTTAATATGATCATCCATCCATTATCTTCCTCTTAAGCCAGCTCACAATGACAGCAAACGAAGGTTTTGATAGACTCAAAAGGCGGTTTTTGAGTTGATAATTTTTTAAGAGTCCTTGGGAAAAAAAAGCAAGAAAGTAGAGATCCTCCTTAAAAGAAACACAGTGTGACTTAAGTACTGTAAGTAGTTAATGGTAAACCCTAGCCTGCATTTTGTTGGAAGGTAGTTGTAAAACAAATATTGTAATATTTTTAGTAAGACGCAGTACAGAAAAACCTCTGCCAAGGATCCTCTGCCATATCTACAGAGATTATTTTGAGCTACAGTACTGTGAAAAATGTTTGAGTCACCCTTAATTTCTTTATATTTTGCTGGGAAAATGTAAAATACGTGCAGCAATTTGCAGAAACAAGTCTCTTAGGTAAGCTCTCCTAATTTCTGTAAGTACCGTAGTCATCATGAATAGTCCTCCAGGCTTCTTGAAGGATATTTGGCATACCTCAACATTTCCTCCCTGTTTCCCTTTTTAAAGAATGGCTTCTTGATAGCCACCCTTCCATTTCTGACGAGGCTTCAGTGAAAATGGATCAACTGGCAAGGACATGTGCCAGGTCTTTGCTAGAGTCCAACCATTTATTAATATACATTATCCATGTTGTCCGTGGTATAATACAAAAAATGTTTTCTTCTTACCTCTAAACTATACGACATATTAAAACCTGTTCGTGCTGCATGTCTGGATTCGTAACCATCTTCTTAGCTGCACGGAGGTCAGGAGGTTTGAAAGCATCTAATGATGATGGCGCTTTTAGAGGACTGTTCCCGTCAGCAGCTCCATAAACCGCCTCTCTGTTTTAAGAGCCACATTACTCTGTCCCGGTCCCTCTCATCGAGCGCACACTCTCAGAGACATCAGCGCGGTGATAGATGCGCCGTGGCTGAACCACACTCTCTCACGGGCCTGGTCCCCCAGGGGGGAACAGAGGAGGGGCCAGAGTGAAGCGGAGGCGGGGCGCACGGTGCTACGGCTGAGTGGAAGGAGAGTGGAAAGTAAGAAAATACCTGAATGGACGATCCGGAATAAGTAAGTAGTATTTCTTTGCGGAAATGTGTTAAAATGTTGGAAGTGGTGCTGTGGATGCTTGCGCGCTGTTGTAACGCGGAGAGGGGAGCTGGGAAGCTTCGGGGCGCCGGAGATCTCCGGTTTCCCCAAACAATAGTCGAGAGGACGCGATGGTCGCCCTTTTTTTTTTTTTTAATCCGAAAGGAAGTTTAGGACCCTCGTCGGCGCTATTGTTGACCCCACGGAGGCCACGTAGCTCCCTGGATCGATTTTAAACGTGGGAGGAAGAGTTGCCTTTATTAATGTGAATAGAAGCGTAAAAAAAGGAGACTGAGAGTGATGCGCCTGGAAGCAAAGAGCGCGTCCAGTGTGACTGCAGGCCGGAGGGTTTGAATTCTGTCCTCGGCGAAGGGCTGGTGGGAATTTGAGTGCGTCCATTCATTTTACTGCGAGGGCGTCCCGTTTGGAAAAGGAAAGGGGAAAGAAAGGGAGCGGGCGTTGGGATCATTTGGCATCAGGACGCCACCGGTGGGGCCTGGGAGTCTCCCATTGTCCTGCCTTTCTCCAACACCCTCCTTTTTCATCTTGTAGGTCGCACAACTCTTTATACTCGCCCGGTTCTTCGCAGTAAGTTAGCCTTTGGTGGCTCTTTGTGCATGTGGAATATTGTTGAAATATTAATGAACGCAGCTCGACTCTTGAGCCACGCTGCCGTAGCCTGCAGCACGGTGCTAAAATGTCTAAACACAGGCTGTAATTCAAAGTGAAACAGGATAACGTTGCTGCAGCCGAAACAGGCCCTGATTACGCACAGATCCAGTGCTTGAAACGTCTGTTCGCCCTTCAACTTCTAATTTCTAAGATTTGAGTCCTGCTTTTGCGAGATAAAACTACACAATGCTATCACCAGGCTTTAAAAAATACCACAGAATGGCTGTAAACTGCTTCCAGTGGGGATGTTTTAGTGATAAAACGGGTCGTAAACATAGCAGGGGCTCAGTGGAAATGGACTGAAGAAGGAATTTTACACAGTGATACCACAGAGATTAAGAAATATGAAGCACAGCTGGTTCATTGTAGAAGTATTGGTGCCCATTAATTTAGGAAATCTGAAGTATTAAGAAATGCTGGCAAAAATCAACTAGATTTCTCCCCTTATTGTTAGTTAAAATAAAAACTCCAGTATTTTATGTAGAAACATGTTTGGTCTGACCAGGAGTCTTAAACCCAAATACTACAATATTATCAAACAGAGAAAAACACCAAGACCTTCCATATTCAAGAAGCTGATGGAGAAAACGTTAGTTTTCTTTCTTCAAAAGCAGAAAATGTTAGACTTTACTCCTTTAGAAATAAACTGAGGTTTTACTTAACAATTCAAATTGTCCACTGGCCCTTTTCATCTGTAAATTGACTAATTTACCATTTCAGCTCTTCAGACAGCCTGGCTTTCTGCTTAAAGGGTCTGTCCACACAAACACAGAGAATACAGCTTGTCCTCTGACCCCCTGCGGTGTGCCTTCTACTTTGGTTCAATTAAAGTATAAGAGAAGCATGACAACTAGTAATGTGAGTGCAGAGAGAATTGTGCATGTATTTTCAGGAAACAGACATGGTAGAAGGTTTCTATCATGTCATATTTGTGTTTAATCACATGGAATTACATTTTGTTTTCTTTTTAAGTCAATGTGGTTGCTTCAGGTTGAAAAAATGCACAAAAAAGCTTCCAAATGTCTTGTGATAAAACATAATTTTGGATGTTTAAAGCACTTAAACAAGGAGTCAAATTGATGTTTGTCAGGTGACTCACAAATTAAGTCTTAATTAAGAAATTGCCGCAATATCTACATTAATATTGTCATCATGAAAAGATTTCAGTGCTCAGAAAGTGTTTCCTGAAGGGAATACGAGTGTTTTCTTATTCAAAATAAATGCATCTCTGTTTGACTCATACAGCTCTTTTTGACTGCCTTAAAAAATGCAATAGTTTCTGACTCCAGTCTGATCGCCACATTTGAACTTCTGCTGTTTTTATAGTCTCTGACAGTGAATTATAACACGCCTCTGCATTTTTGGACTTTTTCAAGCAACTCCTGACGTTTTATAACCCAAACAAAGAAAATAATGATGCTCTGACTTATCAGTAACACATAGTTGGCTGCTGTTGTTAGACTCGCCATAGTCATGACTCATGAATCATCTCAGCCGCTTCCTGTCTCTGCAGTACTTTTGTTTGGATATGAAGACAAATCTATGCAGTCAGAAGACAGGCCTGTTGATTCAAACACACCCTATTAGATTTTCTCACTCGCACACACGCGCACACCTGCTCCCGTTTGCTCGCCGTGTGTGCAGACCTGGACAGAAGCAGTTGTCTTGTTGTTCACTGGTTTTACTGATGTGGGTGGCGGTCTCTGTTCTGTCTGTGTGTGTGTGTGTGTGTGTGTGTGTGTGTGGCCCTTGTTACACTGATGAGCCTCTTCCCCTGTTGGACCCTGGGCGTGTGCATGCTTATTTTCACAGTTGGTGGACTATATCTGGCCTAAAATGGCTATGGAGCGGAGCTGGTCACTTCAGAGGTGTCCCGGCTTGCTTTTCCGCCCTGACAGCTGCCGTCACAGTGCAAGCAGCTCCAAACTTTTTAACGGCAGCTCGATTTCTTTTTGCCGTGGGGAAGGTAGCTGTAAAATCTTCCATGTGCTTGTTTTGATTACCGTGTGACTAGATCTGCACGCTTGCAGCAAAATAATTGCACTGTTAATGGTTTGATTTCATTGTTGGAATCATTTTTATGGATGAGGATAACCAAAACTGTCTTCTATGAACGTCTGCACTGTTTTAAGCTGTATAGTTACTTTAAACGATGCATGAAGGAATGCATATGAAATCTAAACTGCAAGCCAAAGATGTTTAAACTATGGATTTGACTCAGGAGCGTTGTTGCTTTGAGCTACATTAATTGATTTTGGATGCACTGAGTCATAAACCAGATTGATTTAAATTG